AGGAGCTAGGGAAAGGATTTGTATAGTAAAATAAATCAATTTGACCACACACACACACACACACACACACACACACACACACACACACACACACACAATGAATACACGGCTTGTAATGTTATGAGGCAGAAAGTTTCCTAGATGTGAATCAGTGACTATAAATCATATGCATTTCAGTATCGATATGATCATATGGAATTTCGTGTATGTTTTCCCTTTAATACTATCTATACATTATAGTTTCTTCACTGACAATGTAGCAATAAAATAGGTCAATGGGAAGACACATATTTAGTATGAAGGCATGTTTGTATCTGGATTTAACCTGGCATATTAAACACACTGAATTAAACGTAATTACTTTATTCTATACATCCAAACTGAAATCACTTGGAAGCAAAAGGTATTTTCTTGCATAAATGGGCTCTTTGTAATCTACTTTTTGTCTTTTCAGGCATGTCAGACAGACCTACAGAGATGTATGCTGCCCTTGGGATGCTCCTCTTGTCTACCTGGTGATTCAGCCACCATCCTTTTGGACAGTTTCTGTATGAACAATGGTGAAGAGTATTTTTCCATGTTAAAATATCAATACATTGTAGAAGTTATAATGCATGATCCAAGTCTGTACTTTCTTGTCTGCCTACATCTGGAGAGCCATAAAAATAGTTAAACCATGTTAAAAGTTTAAAATTAGGCATGAACTACACAAGGACTCCAGTTTCAATTCTGGATTGCTCAGCAACTTTTCATTCTGATGTGTCTAGTTCATGTTTAGGTCTCAACATTAAATAGTATGTTCTATTTTAGTATGTGTAAGGGAAGATGCATTTTGGGCTTAAGGCCAGTGACAGTCACATTAGTTGAATTCCTTGGGACTGAGAATATAGCTCAGTGGTGGAGCACATGCTTAGCCCTGGGGTTCAATTCTCAGGACACAACATATATGCACACAACACACACACACACACACACACACACACACACACACGCACTCAAAGCCCTTTGGTAGGACATTAGTTTAAAAGATTACAAGCATCACTAACCCCCTCCTGTTACTGATTAGCAAAAGCCACGTCAGAGGACTGGAACCTTCTTTATTCTAGATTCATACAAATTTTCTCATTACAGAAAAAGGATTTTTATGATTCTGAACTATGAAATAATCAATGTAGGATGCTCCATGTGTTGCAGAAATAGTGAATGAAATGAGAGATTAACAATCTCATGTCCTGATAGTGAGTCTAAGAAAACAGTCCTCCAGAATTTAGCTGATTTGCAAGGGGTTCTATAATGAACTTTCAATCAACACCACCTAAGGGATGCAGGAGAGTGTAGTACTTTAACTTTTGTGTGTGTGTGTGCACATGTGCATGTTCCTGTGTATGCAAGTGACTGTGGCCACACACATGGAGGCCCAAGGTCAACTTTGGGTGTTGCTCCTCAGGAGCCATCTGCCTTGTTTTTTGAGACTTTGCCTTTCACTGGGGTGTTGGACTCGCTGCTCAGGCTGGCTAATGCACCCCAGGAGTCTGTCCATCTCTGCTTCTCTAGAGCTGGGATTACAAGCATAAACCATTACACCTTGGGTTGTCTTGTGGGCACTAGAGAGCCAGCTCAGGTCAAGCTTATGAAGCAGGCACTTTTTTACTGACTGAGCTATCTCAGACCCAGCCCCTTTAATCCCTATTAAGTGCTATACTAGCTTTACAATTGAAAAGTAATTCATATTGCTCATATTAGGAAGATCAGTAATGGCGGGTGGTGATGGTGTACGCCTTTAATCTCAGCACTCGGGAGTCAGAGGAAGGTGGATTTCTGAGCTTGAGGCCAGTCTGGTCTACAGAGAGGGAGTTCCAGGACAGCCAGGACTACACAGAGAAACCCTGTCTCAAAAAACAAAACAACAACAAAAAGATTAAAGCTAAAGTTGCGATATTTCTGTCAACTTTCTCATTTTACTGGTACAAATACTATGTATTAGACTCTCAGATGTCAGGTTGGCATGTTTTTATAAAGTGACTCTGCCGTTATCAATTTAATTTGTGTGAGGGGGCTCAAGATAAATGTCACTCCCAAGAGTCCACACCAATCTGGAAGAAGCTGTCCAATACACACTAATACTCAATTGGACAGGCATTCCAGTAATTTCATAATCATTTTCATGTTCTGTTATTTTTGGTGTATTAAGAAATAAAACCATTATTTAAGCATAACAGTTTCCAAGTCATATAAAGGACTTGGAAAAAAGTGGAATATGTGGGAGTAAATGAAGGTCCCTCACCCTGAATGGGATACAGTTTTTACAGAAAAAGAAAATACAAGCAAAAGCACTATTCTGTTTAAAAGCCATCTGTCTGTATCATGTCTAAGTAACTGGTTTTTCCTATCAGCCATGCAGTTTTAATCCTCTGAGGAGCAGCAGGCTGCTTGAAGAGGCAACACACAGACTTTGAACACTTCAATAAACACAATGTAAACATTCACTTTAATGATGTTTCCTTTGTCAACCCCAAGCAGTGTGTGTTTCCTTCGCCTCTGGCTGAGCCATGACCAGCACAGTAGCAACAGCAGAGCACTGGAAGAATTTTCAATAGTCATCTGCCTGTTCTAATTTGCTTTTCAAGGTTGATGATCAGAATCATTACACTGCTTGCAAAGAAATCTGTTTCTGTGAATCTGACCAAGTCACTTCTCTTGTTCTCACACTTAGCTTCCCAGCAGCCTCGCTGAGTTAATTGAACCAGAAGTGCCAGCAGCACCAAGCTCTACAGCGTCACAGATGAACGATATCTTAGAGACGAATCTGCTATGCCCAAAAGAAAGGAAGCGTACACTAAGTCGAGGGGCTGGTGTATTCTGCATGGGGCATATTCTACACCTTGGAGGGGAAAATGTTGCCTTCAACTAAAAATACTTTTATTAGTGGGGAAACCTACAGACTAACAATACCAAAGCGAGGTCGACTGGTCCCTTTAAACACGGACCCCTAACGTGACATCACCAGATTACTTGTGCAACTTTTAACTTTTTCATTCAGGTAATTATTGAACTTTATTATTTAAAAGGTATAAATTTTAGAATTCATGTCATTTTACTTGATGCAAACTGAAAAAGCAGGGCTTGCTATTTCAAATGTATGGGTTTTTAAAAAAGATAAACGGTAACATGAAGCTATTCTCAAAGTTTTGAATAAACTTAAATATATTGAAATATTCCCCATATTTTCTTTCAGTGAGGGAATGTGAGCTATTGTAGGTCCAATGTCTAAAGAGCCCTAGACAACATTCTGGATATTTCACTGGAATGACATTCCTTGTACTAAACTCAACAATAAAACCAGCAGAGAAAGGAAATTCCCAATTTGATAACCGACAATTAACACTGAACAATACAAATGGGATCACATTTTTTTTTTTTTTTTTTTTTGAGATCTGAAGGAAGCAGGTGATATTTTTTGAATAGGGGAAAAAAAACTCCACAGTTTTAAATTATAGTCATTAATCATCTGCTTGTAACCTGCAGAGGGCACTCAAGTGCCTTGAAGAAAAGGTAAACATTTTTAATTTTTTAAATTATCATCATTACTAGTATTTATCAAAAATGATTTTTTAAAAACAGAAACTATCATCTAATAAAGGACACTTAAAGGAAACATGCAGTTTGCAAATTTGCACCTCCTATAGGAAAACTCTTATCTCCACTCCTGGGCATTCGGCCCTCATCTGTTAGGGCTGGAGCATCAAACACTAAGGCACACTGGTGTCAATCACACAAAGTATCCAGGGCTTAAGGAAAACCTAGACCTCAGGGTATCATGCTTACAGGGCAGGTATGAGTGGGAGTCATGCCACAGTGCTTCTGCAGGCTACCTATGTTACACCATGTCACAGGTATAAAACGGGTGGTGAAGAAAAAGGCAAGCTACCAGCTCTTTAAGGTTCTTAACTATTTTCTGAGACAAACCTCATAGGACCCTTAGCAAGTTTCATTTCATTGAATCTTCAATATTGTGAACTAACGCTGTTTGTAGCGATGTACGAACAGATGACTTCACAATATTTTTCCCGAAACAATGCTGAAGTGGCTCACAGGTAAACTCAGCTACACAGGCATGGAACACATTGCAGAAACACAAATGCCTATGTTGAATATATGTATATTCCATAACGACCTCACTATTTATTACATGGAGTAGTTAACTACTAAAAACATGAGTTTCTTAGCAACATAACTATGGAATCTTGACCTTTGACATTTTTTTCTATCTTCCGAAGTATTTGAAAACTGACGATTAAATTGGAACCACAGGAGGCCAGTGTGCCACAAACTTATGTATGCATTTCTTTGAGTTGTTTTGATTTATAAATTAGTTACAAAAGGTTTGAGTCAAAAAAGCGTAAGAAATGATTTAAACAGTAACTTTTATTGTAGATTGCTACTAGGAAAATGAGCAACTACATAACATTTATAAGAATGTTTTGTCTTATTTATAAAGTTAATCATTGATTAAAAAATTAAAAACAAATTTTGTTACAAATAATGGTGTGTGTATTATGTATCTATGTATTTATAGGACATGAAGTATACTAAAGGAATAAATCTTTAATTTGACATCTTGAAAAATAAATACTAACACTGATAATAGTTTTTAAAAATGAATTCTTTGAAAAACAGCATGAAATACATCTGAATTTTTTTTCTTAGAACTGCACAGACATTTCAAAGTCTAAATATATGGAAGAAAAGATAAAGCAAAAGGCAGAAAACACTTAAGAGAATGACTGCTCATGTACTTCGGCAATGATACCAGTTATGGGGAAATGAATGCAGTTATTATTTTAATGAGAATATAAGGCTCTATCTACTTCCTCATGAAAATAAAAGCTAACAAGATTGTGTGCTACATGTCTCCCTAGCTGGATTTCTTTACTACACTGAGTTTTTTCTAGTGGTCTGGGGGTGGCTGGACTCGAAGACACATGAAACACAAGTGTTTTTCAGCATAACTGTAGCCATTCCTTTGATTCTTGGGTTATCTGGGGGCAGCGAGCATGCACTCTAGCACACGACACAAACAAGAAGCTGTACTTGGAATGTAGCCTTTGTTTTTTTCTCTCTTCAAAGCCTATGATTCCTAATATCATTGATAGGCAGAGCAAAAAAGAAATGTTTGTTCTCTTATGTAAGAAATAAACTTCATTTGGTATTCAATTGACTTTCTAACTTAGCAGGCAGGACTTTGCATCTTCAAAAACTGAGAATAAATTGCATTCTTGGCCCTTGCTTTAAAAGGTTATAGAGAATAAACGCACGGGCTGGTAGTGTTCTAGTGATCTCCCTAATCTCAGTTGCACTTTGTCAGAACGAGGTAACTGGTAGTTAAGTGAATACCCCAGATCAAAGGGGGATTAATCACCGACTGAATCCTTGCTGAATCAACCTGTCATTCAAGAAAATTATTTCCACGGAACTTAGCAGAGGATTGAAGGTATTTGCATAACAGCAACCAACATACTTCAGCCAGGTTAAAAGGTTCAGAATTCATCCCATGTTTAGCTTTTTGCCTCCTTCTCCTTTCAGCAGCTGGGTACAATGGTTTCTAATCTGATAATACAGCTAACTATCTAAATGATGTCAGAACAGGAAAGTATTGCAAAGTTTGGATGAGGGATGGATCAATTTCACTTTCAGCAACTCCTAAATCTGATTTGTTGGAATTTAAGATGTAATCCTAAAAAGTCCCTTAAACCTGAGGACTGTTTATTAACATCCTTTTTTTGACCTTTGTCTTAGAAACAACTCCTCTACTAGGGCAGCAATCCCCGCAGAGGAAGTTCACCTAGCTACCTCCCAGGGGCAGTGGAGGAATCTGAATGCCTGTTCAAGTTTTTTAAATATTGTTAACTACAATAACAGAAAAAAAAATCAGCAATGGATACTATGTGTCTGCTGCTAAACAGCACATGAAATCAAAGACCACAATATTGTAACAGTAGAAATACTAAGATGGCATGAAAAGAAAAAGATTTTGAGATAGGCTAATGTTTAAATAAAATTTAAAGACTCGTAAGATTCCCAAGGAGCCTATTTACTTTTAATTTGAAAGGCTCAATTATTTAAAAGTACAAAACATCCCCACTGTTTAACTACTACATTGTGGGCTTTATAATATTGCTTAGTAAAAAAAATGGAGAACAGGTATCACACAAATCATGACCCATCTTTTCTAGAGTTCATTCTCAGATATTTAAAACTTTCTTTAACCCTTTGGGTTGAGTAAGAATAATTACAGCATAGATATCAGATTTCATAATCACATTTTGGCACTAAAAGGGAATTTAGCAATATTGTATCTAGAGCAGGTCTGACACCATCCAAATCTATCACTGGAAGTCGATGCTCACATTCACTGCAAATGCAAAGCACCTTTCAAGTTAAAAAAATGAAAAGAATAGCTATCAAAGAAAATGAATAAAATCCATAGTGAGATAATTTTTTAGAAAATGATTGAAGTTTTAACCAAAGAAAGGACTCTTAGAGTGTCTTATAGCTTAGAATAAGAACATGTCAATCACGATTAAGCTTCTGGAATCGGAATCCCTTTGAAATGCAGCTGTTTCTTCTTTAATTGTGGCAGTGGACTCTGAAGAAAAGAAAGGTCCAGCCTTAAAGATGAGTAAGGAATACAAAATAGCTCAGGATTAGTTGTGGAGTTCAAAGGTCGCTAATTACACTAAGGAGTTCCCAGACACAGGGAAAACATTAAACAGGTCACCTACCAAACTGGGAACAAGCTTTGTCTTCAGAAATTATCCTGAAGTGACAGGTTTCTAGACAAAATCAAAAGCATCAGTGTGCCCAGCTGATCTCAATGGGATGAAATGTGGGCTGGCTTTTAGTTCCTAGTGTTGTGTCAGAACGGAATGGCAACAGATGGCCTTGGTTCCCCATCACGCCACGCTTTTCTAGGAACCCCTAGATTTTCCCCCAGGTTTCTAGAAATGTCAAATTAGAGGTCACTGGTTTTTCTAATTTGTTTATGAAGAGAGTTTGCCTCAAGGATTATATACTGAATCTTTCCCTACTCACTAGATGAATGTGTCTTGTCTACCTTAGTATAATTTGCTAAGTATTTATACAATCAAAATTTCTAAAAGGCTCTACTAATAAATTGAAGTAAAATGTTGAGCTTTGAGATGAGGAGTGAGAAAAAACCATTATGGGACAATGTTTTCTTCTCACAGAAGAATTTCTACTGCTGACTCCCTTCGGGTCAGTCGGGACAGCAAGCACTGTCCTTGTCAGGCAGTTACTCCCTCTCCTGACTTAGGATGACTGTGAAAACAGAACTCTGTGCTATGATAATGCTTTGCAGGCAATGAGGGTTTATAATGAGGGCTGACCCTAATTAAAAAATTGATTTTGAGTCCTAAGTTTACACACACTTTCCCATTCAATGATTGAAACTCTCCTTCAAAGAATCAGCAGCTTTTTCTAAGCTTTTTTTTTTTTAGAAGACTCATTTTAAAAAAGACAAAAAAGAAACAGAAGCCAGGATAAATCTAATTAGAGGTCAATCTGCAAGTCCTATTTTCTGTTAGGCTTCAGCTGGAGTCAGCGAAATTCTCAGGATCTTTAGATTTTTTTTTAAATGGTCGCTTGAAGTCCAACTTGACGAGAACATACTGCTCTGAAGCAGGATATGTGTAATAGGAGAAATAGGCAGAGAATAAAGAGCATGGCTAGGTAGTTTGGAAGGAATCAAGAAGATGGTAAAAAGAAATGACAGGGACAGATAAAGAAAAAAAATGCTACATTAAATAAGTGTAAATGATACTCATGAAAAGGTTTTTGAATATTTACCTGAGTTCATTCATTATCAGATTTTAATTAAAAAACAAAACAGAGAGTATAATACCCCAAATTATTTTTAAAACCTTGTCCCAGGACACTAAACATCATAGATGACTATGCTCCTCTTCTGAAGTTACTGCAGTCTTCTTAGGTCGACTGGCATCTTAGACACACGTCATTGTGGCAGATTACCAAGTCAGTTAAAGGAGCCTGAGAGGGGTTAGCGTCATAGTTCAGTTGGTAGGGTGTTTGCCTGGCACGCATGAAGCTCAGTTGGACCCCTAGAAGGACATAAATTGGACATGGTGATACACCACTGTAATCCCAGCGCTTGAGAGGGAGTTCAAGGTCATCCTCAGCTACACAGTGAGTCCCTGGCAGTCTGGGCTCCACGAGACTCAGTCTCAGAAAGAAAGTAGCTCTAGAACATCAAATAGAAATATACAGGCTTTTTATTGGCCAGGAGGAGAGATGTGATGAAGAGTGGGTTACTATTTGAACATTATCTTCACTGGCTACTTTGAAAGAAAGGATTTATGATTATTTTAACCAGATCATGGGTATTCTGTAAAAGCATGCTGTTTGTACTGAGGTTTGGATAAGCACATAATTTCCTTGTAAATCAACTACAAACCACAGGACAGCTGCCTGAGACTGCACCAGGAGAAGGCTGAGCTCTTACTGAAGGAGGGGGTTCTGATTGACTAGCGCGGTCTGCCCCACAGGATGCCACAATTGGCCCTGTCTTGGCTGGGACTGAGTCTGGAGGCCTGCCACAGGGACAGGAAAGAACATATGGCATGGAGACCCAAGACTGATCCTAATTCAAAATGAATCACTACTTTTATGTGTTCTGAGTCATACTGGCATGAAGACAGAGGGTAACAAAAAATGGAGACATTAGCCTTGAAAATATTCTTTCACATTGTATCAGACTAAAACCGACAGATATGAATACATGTAAGAAATAAAAATACTATGATTTTACTACAGAATGTTACCATCATCTAAATCCTATTTGACTATGAGAAGATCATGGTAACAATGACGCATATGTTACTGGAGCACGTGCTTTAGAATTCCAGATGTAATAGTCAGAAGAAATTAGTTTCCGGTCTACAAAAGGAAAAAGGAAAGAAATTAATGATAAAAATGTATAATTTTTAGCAAAAATCCAATAAGAGAACAAAGCTATCCGTTTTGAATTTGTGGAGTACAGTCATGTCATGGTAATAACTATGAAGTATTAATATTTATTTTACTCTATTGAAGCTTTATTGCTACTTATATCTCATTAAAATGAGCTCATGAATATTTGGGCAAACCATACTGGAACTTATATGAATCTCTTATTTATACCAAATGTTTATTTCCCCTACATCTCAAATTGATTTTTTAATAAACCATTCTGGGCTATACAGTTGAGACTTTATCTCAATAAATGAGTAAAGAAGTAATTAGGTATGTTACTGATGTATTAAAAAACAGGTATATCATAGAAACTTTCTATTCTTTATTATACTTTCTAAAATGTTTAGTTAATATTAATAAAATACTTAAACATATTTTAGTTATCTAAAAAGATAACATTTTTTTACAGATCAAAAATACTCATCTGTATTTAGACACAGTGATGATGGTTTAATATTACACTTTCATAAAAGAACATATACACTGTGAACATGCCTTCATCAAGTCATCTAAAAACAGCAGGACTGCTAGGGGACAAAACACAGGGGCAACATAGAGGTCAAAACACTGGCTTATCTGAGATGCCTAGATTCTGTTTTTCTGAAGCAGTTTCCCAGTTTTCAGGGACAGTCTGGTCCTAGCCTTCCAATTTTTAGGGACCTTAATCCTAGTTCTAGAATATAAGTCTGAGGCTAGGGGTGTAGCTCAGTGATCGGACACTTGCCAGGCATACATGGGGCCTTGAATTGCAGCTGCTCAAGCTCTGCCCAAACCAACCAACAAACAAATGTACCTAAATATGAGAACTTTTATAAATTGGATTATTCCAATCTAGATAATCTGACATTTTTCTTACCCCTACCTTTACCTAGATACTTACTTCTTTTATCTACTCTTCTATGCCACCTGTATGTATTTGATCTGAATTAAACAATTTTGTTTTGTTTTTCACATCCTGATATATTCATCTAAAAAATATGTGGCAGGAAATCATCTTTCTATTGCTTGCCACTGATATGACAGAGAAGGTGCTAAATAATGCTTACTGGCTATGGCATTTACTAAAAATAATTTAAATTTTAAAATGATAATTTATTACTTATTAAATCTTATGTTAAGCTAAATGCTCAATAAATACAATCTATTCATATAAATCATAAGGTATATATTGTCATTTCTACTTTATTAACTTTATTACATTAAAAAACCTAGCATGTATGTTGTGTGTGTGTGTGTGTGTGTGTGTGTGTGTGTGTCTGTGTATGTGTGTGTATGCATATGAGTGTCACAGGACAACTTTTAGGAGTCAGTTCCCTTCTTCCATTGTGTGGGTCCCATGGATAGAACTCTGGCCATCAGACTTGACAACAAACGTCTTTATCCACAGAGCCATCTGGCTGGTCCAGTCAGAATACAGTCTAAGAATGGAGTTGTGTGAAGGGAATTTTAAGTGCTTGTGAGAAAACTCTAAGAAAACAAGACAAAAGTCTTGTGACCTCAGTTTCTTCAAAAAGATGTAATTGTTCTTGGACTGTGCTTTCATGTCACTCCTGGGTGTAGTGGATAGGCGTGAGTTGACTTTTGATTATTCATTACAACTGGTTATTGTTATTGTTTATATACCACTATGAAAAAATATGTTTTTGCCAATGTGTGGCTTGTCCTTGTGATTGTACACTTTACTCATGTGACCTCTCTTAACCCTCTTAAATTGTCTGATGCTCTGAATAAAGTTGGCTATTGCCTGAAGCTTTAGTCCACCTCGTTTTTTAGGCTCCTCTCCCATGTCCCACCGCCTTTAGAGTGCTAAACAGTCCCCTACTTCTTCTCCTTTATAAATGAGGACACTAAAACGTTAAGACGTTGACTAGCTTTATGAAAGTTACATTCACTGAAAACAGACAAGAGTTTAATATAGCCAGAGCAAAGCAAATCTATATATACTATATACTAAAGCCCACACCAACTGGGTTCTACTCATCCAGACTGTATTTGAACAGAGGTCAGGGGGCAATATAAAGTTCACAAAGGGTTATGTGGGAGTGGACTGAATCACAGACATTTTTATAAAATGAGATTATTTTCCAATCTCCAAGTTTCATTACATTTTAATTTTGCCTTAGGTAGTGACAACATAGTACCATTTTAATTCTGTTTAGTTTGAACCTGTACAACTTACATGCACTTATTTTTGGTTTTCCTGATGCAAAAACTTGAACTGAATGCTGATCTGCATAACATCCAGTGAGTGTATAATCTGAGATCCTGAAATGAAGCTAGGGAAATGAGAGAAAGAGTCAACTGAGGAGGTGATTGGCTAAGAATCTTCATCACATTTTCCCCTTCACAATTTTTAGAGTGTCACCTGATAGTTCACAAACTTTAGACCCCAACAGTAAAGTACAGTTGTGAAAACACACAATAAGTGTGTGCACACCCCTTTGTACTAGTTCCATTTCTTTGTGAGTGCTTAACTCGTACAACTACTCACTACTGTGAAGCCTGGGCACACAGTACAGCAGAGCGTGCATCACACCGTCTGATAAATTCATGTGACAATCTTTTTTTAATTAATTAATTTTTCTGTGTATAGGTGTTTTGCCTGCATGCATGTCTGTATCTGATGAAGGCCAGAAGAGGGCACTGGATCCCCTGAAATTGGAGCTACAGAAGCTGGTGAGCCATCACATGGGTGCTGGGAATTGAATCTGAGTCTTCTGGAAGGGCAGCAGCAGCAAGTGCTCTTAATCCCTGAGCCATCTCTCTAGCTCCAATCATACTCTTTTATATGTAGGGATGTATATGTTGTTTAATAAAGCACATAAATGCAATCACAACAGGAAGAAGTATCTGTTTATCTCATGCTTGGGGAAATGGCCTGCTCTACTTGTTTTTTTTTTTTTTTGATAACCAAAATCTAACTTTACAGAACTGTTACCAAGTTATCCCTTCCCTCATCTCGAAAACCTTCCTACAATGTAACCCACAGCTCCTGGACTCCACTGGTGATGTGGGGTTATCACTGTGAACACCAGCACTGCACTGTGCTGTAAGGAGGCACTAGTACCTTCCTAGTCTCCGCTTTCTGTGGTTCTAATCTGTGCTGGTAAACACCTCATGTAGCAAGATCCTGCTCTTTTCAACACCCCTCCCTACACTAAACCAAGGGCCTTGCACATTCCTGGCAAGCCCTCCATCTCTGGGTTACATCCCAAGCCGTATACTTTTTTCTCCTCTCTTCTCTGCAAATTTCTCCCATTTTGTGTTTGTGCATGTGCGTATAATAACTCTGAGATTGTAACAATCTCTTTCTTACAGCAATTCACAGAGTTTGAAAGCAAAGAGCTTATGTTTGCATCAGTGTTATAATTCGCAGTGCTGGAAGTTATGTAGACAACGTCCATTTCCATATTTATTTTATGCTTTGGATCAGACTAGAACTGATTAAGGGAAAGAAATAAGTAGAAAATTCTAAAAACTACCCTTGCTGGGCACACAATGTAGTAACATTCCATATTTTTTCTGAAAAGAAAAATCAGGAATTTAAATAATAAGCTTTCAAACAAGATAGTAGGCAAAGTCAGAGCTCGCCTAGAAAAATGAATTCTTAGCAGTGAACCCCAGTCTCGCTACTGTTGCTTTCATAGATGTTTATCTTTCCGCTTTGACTTCGCCAATAGCATTCTCTTTTCCTGTAAACTCTGTGGTTATTCCTTCCATTTTCCTTATTGATTCTTCTGAATCTTTCCTTATTTTCTTTTGTTTATATGATCTTATTCATTTCCTTGCATCAAGTTTTTCTTTTCAATGGGTACTCCTAAATCCTTATATATGGTGGATCTCCCATGTGAATCAAATTCTAGGGCTTTATCTATCTATTGTACACTTACATTAAGAAATGCTGCTATTACCAGGTACACATATACATATATATTCAGCAAATATTTAAGTACTAGGCACTGGACTAGATGTTGAATATGAAACAAAAAAAAGGAATAAGACCATACAGTCTCTGCCATCATGCACTTGCCTTGAATCCATTGCAGATTAACACTCATAAATGAACCATTTTGAAAAGCTAAAACATCTACCAAAGGAATAGGAGATGCATGCCCTCTATATTCCCGCCTAAATAACTTGTCCTTCCTATGTAGAACTTACATTCTAAGCACCAGCTTCTGAAACTGTTTACCTCTTTTCACTCTCTAAGTCACTTTAAAACATACTATGTTTATGCAAGCATGTACATTATGTGTGCTGAGTTGTGTGTAAGCACAGGCACATACATGCCATGTGTGGATGTAGAGGCCAGAAGTCAATGTTTGAGAGCTGGTTCTTTCCACCCTGAGTTCCAGGGACTGATCTTAGGCTAATGCTTTCACCCACAGGGCCATCATGCCGGCCCTTAGCTCATTTTTCAGATGAAGACGTTAATTAACCTTCATGCTTATCTTGTCCTCAGAATTTTCTTTGGCTAGAAGGACTCATGTTTTCTCTGAGACACCAAAAGCAGTTAGTTGTTTTTTTTTTTTTTTTTTTTAACTCTTTGGGAGCCCGCCACCCAGCTCCCAAATAAAAATATGGAGACTTATTCTTACTTATGAATGCCCAGCCTTGGCTTGTTTCTAGCCAGCTTTTCTAACGCAAATAATCCTGTTTCTCTTTAACTATGTTTTGCCTCTGGGTTTTCACCTTTATTTATTCTATATCTTTCTTTTCTTCTTGCTTTGTGATTGACTGTGTGGCTGGACCCTGGTGTCCTTCTCTACTTCTCCTCTTCTTGTTCCTCCTCCTTTTCTTCCCTAGATTTCTCCTATTTATTCTCTCTGCCTGCCAGCCCCGCCTATCCTTTCTCCTGCTTAGCTATTGGCTATTCAGCTCTTTATTAGACCAATCAGGTGTTTTAGACAGGCAAAGTGACACAGCTTTACAGAGTTAAACAAATGGAACATAAAAGAATGCAACACATCTTTGCATCATTAAACAAATGTTCCACAATATAAACAAATATAACACACCTTAAAATAATATTCCACAACAGTTAGTACTGATCAGTCACTAATCCACACTACTGAAAACACTCTAGAGATCAAGGGCTGCATCTTATTTTTGAACACAAATATAATTTGATAACTAAGAGTTGGGTAGTTTAAATTGGAGTGTTTAGGTTATTCTTAACTACTTCCCTTACAATTTGAGTACTTACTGAAACAGAAAAATAACTACTACTGGCCATGTGTGATGATTCATGCTTGTAAACCAAGTGTCTAGGAGAGGCTGAGGCAGGAGGCTCCTAGCCTGAAGTCAGCTAGTGTTACATAGAGATATGGAGACCAGTTTGGGCTATGGCACAGATCCTGTCTTTAAAAAATAAATAAATAAAAGAAACACAGAGCACCCCCCAACAAATGGTTTTAAAAAGGAACTTAGCTACACAAAAAGTACAAAAGTTTTTTTTTTGTTAGAAAATACTAAAACTCAAATATATATGCAGTTTAGAACTAAGTTAAGGGGTTCTAATGCAATGTTTCATATATTTACCTTTACATATGCTGTATTTCCAATGCAAATATGATCAAATGGCTGCTTGTTATGGCCCTTGACTCCAAAAGTTAGAGTTCCAGAAAGACTAATTTCCATTGATTTGGGGAACTTCTGCCCTAAATCGCAAATGTACAAATCAATTATTCTAAAACAGAAGATTCCACAGCAAATGAGAAAAAAAAATCAATAAACAAAATCTTGCTCACCAATAATCCAGACCAATAAGCTTTTTTCTCGAAATACCTCAAGTTGGCCAAAACTAACTTTGTATTCCAAATGGGTAATTGGACCTCTTTAAAAGAAAAAAAAAAAAAAAAAAGGAAAAAGAAGAAAATAGAAAAAAAATCTCAGATATAAGTTTTAAAGCGATGAGCCAAATCTTATTTGTTTTTAATATCACAAAAGCAGATCTGTACTCCTACTGCAGAAGAGAATGAATAATGAACACAGATTTTAGAAAACAGCAGTCATCACATAAACATTTATAGTAGCTATATATATATATTATATATATATATTAGCATTATAAAATCATATCACAAAAACAATTATAAATATCAATAGATTATATCACATGCGTTGGAACAGCATTAAAATTATGTTTTACTAATTAAGTACACTTTGTAAAGAGCTTCACTACAGAATACATTTTCAAAGTAGAACTGATCTATGCTCTAACTGACTAATTCACCAGATTGCTGATGGTTAAGACTGATTTATATGTAGACCTCAGAGAAACTATAGCAATAAAGCCAGTGGCACAATGGTCCTAGAGGAAGTTACAGATTTAAGCTTGAAATTTATTTGCAAGCTTAAGTGGAAAAAAATGAGGCACCATTTAAAGTTAAATAGATTCTTTTTGCAACCACATTTTAGCTCAGAATCAGTATTTATTTGAATATAAAATTATTTAGATTTTAAAAATATGGAAAATGAAGAAGACACTTTATTGTGGGGCAGTAGGAATCTAGTAGAGAGGACAGCAACCATGATGCCATATTATTCACCCTACCTGTTGTAAAAAGGTATATGAGCTTCACAGATTTCAAAATTATTTTTTACACTTTCATGAAGTTTTAAATTAACTGTTATTTTTAGTTGTGCTTCTTCTTCTTTCACGTGATAAGAACCCAGTATTGGTGGGACAGGGACCTGAAACCAGACACAGTTCTTAATATAATTCTCATGTTGATGAGTCTAAGATATAAATGCTGACAGGGAAAAAGAGCTATACTTTATAATTATTATACAGGTATGGCTTTAATAGCTGGAGGGCTGTTCTCCATTGCTTTCACAACAGCAGTGGTGTATCTACATTCATCCTGAGGGCATTCTTCTACCTCTCTGAACAGAGACGAAAGGTACCTTACAGTCCATACTTGTTCCTACTCTTGCTCTTGTGTGTTCTCACACCTGCAGCCCAGGTCATCCTTTACGCATCCTGCTAACTGTTCTGCTCACAGTTCCGCATATTCCTTTCCTATCTCATGACTGTACTGTTTCTCCTTTCCTGCCCCTAGCTCAGCAATAGCTTACCCGGGCATTAATGACTGACTGAAATTTTACGCTGATGTGAGCTAATCATCTTATTGGTGCACACAGGGAGGTTCTCACATGTAGGTCCTAGAGCTGTAAGAGCATTGCAAACAGAGAAACCCAGAGACAGGGAGTACTGGGGAAGATGGGAGACAAGGGAGGCTGTCAGTGTAGAATGATTTTAACGTTGGTTCGAATTCTCGGGTAGCCTACATCTGTTTCTTCTCTTGAATGATAATAAGAATTTCTGTTGAATTACCAAAATAAATTACTTCTAGTCAGTCTGGCTTGAACACGATTTTCTAATCTGACTGGCTAATAATTAGGACAAGAGACAAATGACACGTTATAGTAGAAAACACGCCAGCTTCTGGGAATTTGGAAGACTTGGGTTCAAACCCAGGCTGTGCCACTTACTGGCCAGAAGATTTGTTCAAGTCATTTAACCTCCCTAAGACTTTCACCATCTATAAAATGGAGATAATAACATCGACCTTAAGATGTGTTGAAATTCCTAGAAAAAGACACACCAAGTGCCTAGGATAGCGTCCAACACACAACACTCACGTCATGAGCACAGATAGCTACGGCTCATCTTACGTTTATTTAGCTAAGATTTTGGGGGATTAGAGTTATTTCCTGTTTGTGTTTAAAGCCGGGAGTACCTGAGAGGTGTAGTGGCATAAGTTGAATGACTCGAGAGGCGGAGTGAATGGGAATTTGTAAGGCCCACTAAACGCAGAGTCGTCCATTGTGTCAATGCTACTGGAAGTCAGAATGGCAGAATCGAGAGAAGTCACACAAGGGTGAACGATAATATCTTGGAGTGGAGAGCCGTTGGTGGGGAGGTTCAAGCTGATGGTGACATTTGGCATGATTCCTTCCAAATCACACTGGAACGAAAGCAGAAATGAGTGTTACCAGGCGCTTACATCAGTGCAGCTTGCCTGAGGCTTTTCTGAATTCAAGTCACTTCTGCAATTTAACTTTTCTCTCTAGGCATTATTCTCTTTGTTCTGTTTTCTGATGGACAATTGGATACAGTTAGCCAAGCCAATGGTCAGAGGCTGCACAGACCCCCTGGCTCACCTTTAAGGCCCTATAAAAGCTAGTTCAAATCCACTGGTTCCTCTCAGGCACCTTTGCAACCAGGCCCTCGCAATGTTACAGCTGTTATCTGACTCGCTTTCCTCTAGTGGTTCTCAACCTGTGGGTAAAGACCCCCTTCGGGATTGAACAACCGTTTTACAGGAGTCACATATCAGATATCCTGCATGTCAGATATTTACATTACATTCATAACAGTAGCAAAATTAGTGATGCAGTAGTAATGAAAATAACTTTTGTTGGGTGCTCACCACAACAACAACTGTATGAAAGGGTCACAGCACCAGTCACATTGACGAATGGTAATTCAACTTTTGTTACATTGAATCCAAGATTCAGACACTTCAATGGTTCTTCTTTCATTTCATATACTTTGAAGCCTTCCATTGTTTGATTCCCATCTAACTCTAATCTTCTACCCCTTGATTTATGTTGCAAATATATAAAAATTCTGCATCTTGTTTTCTGAATAAACCATATTGTCTTGTATTTCCATGTGCACCTTAACTCCTGCGAGTCCTTGCAGGTGTGTTTTCTCCCTACATAGCATTTCACTTAGTCTGGTGTGATCACTGTCTGGATAAAGGCATCTGCAGCAAAGCTTGACAGTCTTGAGTTTAATCCCCAGGACCCACCTGATAGAGAACCAATTCCCCCAGGTTGTCCTCTGACCTTCACATGGGCGCTGCGGCATGTGCACCCATACTCATACCCCCCCATACACACAAAATTAAAGGTTTAAAAGAAAGCCGTGTAAGCCTAACACTGTACAGTCTTACTGAGGGTCTCCTTTTGCATGGAGACACAGGGTCTTCTTCCCTGTGTGACTGGGTTAGTTTGCCAATGGTAGGGTAGCTACGAGGGATTTCACTGGGAGGAAGATAAGACAGCTCCATAGGTCTGTCCATGAACTCCCATGTCATGGCTAGCAGGGCCAGATGGAGTACTTTCACAGCCCTCTCCTTAAATTCTTGCTTTGAGGTTCAACAGACTGAAATGGCAGTTCACAGACTTCTCTGTGAACTCCTCTACCAATTCTGGTCTCCAGAATAAAGTCTTAAGGGTTTTGTTTCTGTAATCAAAAGAAAAGATTTATTCCCCAGCTCCTCTGGTACTTGAGAAGTCTTAATGTCTTTACTTCATAAATCTACACCAACAAACCTTACTTGTGTGTGTATAAATGTGGGCGTAGGGAGAGGGGTGTACTCAAGGTCTTCTTCTGTACCTTCATTCTAACTTGACATTTACTTCTTATTTTATTTTTAATTATGTTCACGTGTGTGAATCTGTGTGTGGGTATGTGTAATGAGTACAGTGTCTGTGGAAGCCGACAGAAGACAATGGATCCCCTGGAGCTGGAGTGACAAGCAGTAAGTTGTGAGCTGCTTGGTGTGGGTGCCGAGAACCAAACACAGGCTTTCTGCATGAGCAGTAAGCACTCTATTTGCTGAGCCATCTCTCCAGCCTTTACTGGTAAAGTACTGGATCCCATTAGCCAAATGAGCCATAAGAGTTCGTTCAGGGGCGTTGTTTGATTAGACACAGAATGTGTAATGGTAGGCTCAGCAGGCAAAATGCTTAGGTCTAGATGTATACAGTCCGCACCACACAGTGACTACCTGTCACCATGTAATTTGTGCTTCTATTTGTTTCCCTCCTGCAACTTTAAGTTCTTTCAAAGCAAGAGCTGTTCTGTGCTTCTTCATATATCCATTGCTATTCACAGGAGATCCTAAAAATGTTTCCATTTTATACCCCTTTTCTAATTTTGAACCTTATCTCTTCCTCAATATTAATATAAAATCTTTCACTTTGGAAGGTTTTAAGAGTCTGTTTAGTTTTATGGTTTGTGTGTTTGCCTGAGTGTATGTATGTGCATCACATGCAAGCAGGAACCCACAGAGATGAGAAGAGGTGTCAGACCACCAGGAACTGGAATTAGAGAGTTGTGAGCTGCCATGTGGGTGCTGGGAACCAAATGCAGTCCTCTGCAAGAGCAGCAAGTGCTCTTAACCACTAGGCCATCTCACTTTGTAATGTGTGATCTACCATCTGACACATATGAATTCATTAGTGTTTCTGCTTCAGATTTAAGTACTTCACCAGTAGGCAGGCATTCTGAACTGTGCTGGGGTACAATCAGTAGCTTAGAAGTATCTTTTTGTCCTTTGTGACAATTACAAGAATATCAATCAAATCTCAAATTTGAAAGTTAAGATGACAATCTTCTTAATAGAGAATTTAAAAACATGTTCTATATTGCATTTGTATATTAGTAAGAATAAAAAGTTTTGCTTTTTGCTATTTATTGAGATAATAAACACAGATATTTAATAGTAAATAGTATTAAAACTTAAAACATCCTTTATGTGTAAAACATCCTAGCAGTGTATCATTCGCAATGGGATCAAAGGCACTGCACCACTATGGAAACCTTCAATAAGTTACCCACTATCTAGTCACTTCTAATACCGTAAGTACAGGATGAGGATTGCCAATCTAGAAGGAATCTCTAAACTCTTTATTAAAAGTTTAGCATAGATGAATCTGGACCTCAGAACTATAAAAGCAGAAGGCACATAAAAGGTTATCTTCCTTTAAAATGATAAATGATTTACAAAATTATGTGACTTTGTAAGGACCCAGGACATTTAGAGGTAAAGGACAACCTCAAAGAAACATTTAGTATTAGGTTGAGGTGCACTCCACCATCCCTCCTCACTTTAGAACGTGTTTTTTAGAAAATTACATTGATTTATTTTAGTGTATATGAGCACGTATGTGTGTTTATCTACGTGTATAAACATGTACGCTACAGCACACATGTGGAGGTCAGAGGACGACTTGTGAGAGTCAGTTCTCTCACCATGTGAGAGTCCAGAATGGAACTGAGATTGTTGGCTGGAGACACGTGCCGTTACCGGCTGAGCCATGTCACCAGCCCCTCCTCCTGACACTAACAAAGATTTCCACTACGGTCATTTGAACCAGCACTAAGGCATCAGCTCACACTTCTCACAAACAAGAAAGTGGGGTCAACTTATCAATGAACAGAGGAATGTACACATCATGTTAATCACAATATATATAACATCTGGGATGAAAACATAGTGACCTTTCTAATTTTTATTACACTGAACTCATGAGAAAAAGTCTCGACTACTTTAAGAGTGATGAATGACACAGTCCATGATTGTCAAGCGTCTTAGAATAGAGGTCCTAATAGGATGAATAATTTGAATGCGATTTTGGGCATGACAGAAATTTTTAGCATAGGCAAAACTTTTAGGTTACTTTAATTAGAAGAGTCAATTTGCCTGTCTAATTCTCTTCTTAAAATTTACTATATTCATAGAATTTATATATAGTAACTAAACATTAAATTTACAAAGTATACAGAATAAAGGGCTACAAAAGATATTTGAGAATACTATTAATATATACATGAAGTGTTTAATTGGAGGACTTTGATCATTATTTATCCTGACATTAATCACTGTTATCTCTATTGATGTTTCCACTGTTTTCCCCATTTTCTAATTTTAAAACAGATAAATCGACTATTGAGTTATTTAAATAAAACAAGAACTCTTGTTATTTGATGTAGTCAGAGGACCTGTCAACTTCATCTACTAGAGAAATGGAAGTGAGATGATAAGTATATTCATAAGTTCTCCCCAACTACTCTTTTCCTGTGGTGGACCTGATTCCACATCTCTTCAGTGTGACCAGACTTAGTGATTGGCTTTGCATCTAAGAAACAGAAGGAAGTAGAAATGATGCCATGTGGCTTTTCAGAATAAGTAGTAAAAACAATAGCTTTGAGTCTTTCTCTTTCACATACACACAAACATACACTATTTGATCTGAAAGAAGCCAGTTACCAAGTTGTAAGGATACTTAAGCAGCCAGTGGAGAAGTCCTATGGAGTGGAACAGAGGCCTCCTTCCATCAGACAGTCCTGACTTGACAGTCATGTAAGTCATGTTGCAAGCAGGTATTCGAGCCCTACTCAGGTCTTCAGATGATAATAGCTCCCACCAACATCTTGACTATAGGCTCATGAGATTCTACACTGAAGGTTCCCAGCTAAGCTGCTCCTAAATTCTGACCCACAGAAACTATGAAGATAATGTCTATTTTAGAGCAATGGTACAATTCATTATATAATAGTCATTAAGTAAACAATTTGTAAAAGATACAGATAAGGATAACAAGCATATCATTAAAAAAATTGTAAAATACAACTGTAAATTTTACTGTTCTTCAGTGTTAATGCTGTGACAAAACAAATCCTGGAGAAAAGCTCACCTTGCAAGCGACTGTTCCAACAACTTGCCATGTGTCTGCTATATCCTGTTTACCATACTGCATGCATTTTACTTTTTCACTGATAGAAATAGAAATCTGTGGTTTTCCTTTGTATGTTCCAACTCTCCATGCTGGCTGTTTTTGTGGCTGGGTCACAGATGAGCAATTAATACTAGTCAATGAATTCTGCAAGTTAGCATCCAATAAAGTACCCAATGGACAAGCCTGCAGAAGCAAGTCAGGCAACTGACTCAATTTTGTGTTTAGGTCAGTGTCATTTTTCTGACTTGAGTAAAGAAAATCCTGTATCCCAAAAAGCAGTTCCAAGCCTTGTGAAATTCCACTAATGCTAATTAAAGATGGCCGAGGGGACAGAGCTTGTTCAACTAGTGGAACACTTGCATATATCATATCATTCCTCAGAAAAGCAATGACTGGCCAGAGTTCTTCACCTCCTACTAAAAGTCCATAGACAGATGATTTATTGATGTATGAACAGCTATCACGCCTCTCCACGAAGTCTTTATCATCATCCAATAATCTAAGTTGAAAGAGTAATGCCTTAAGAAAGGGACCATCTTCAGGTACAGGAACATAACTCAGTCCATTCAAGATTTTGGCTCTCTTTTCAACAGTAGGATATCGTCTGTATTAGAGAAACAGAAACATTACAAATGATTCTTCCAAGTAAAATCAATGAGAGAATTAAAAAACTTTAAAATAGAAGGCAAACAGTCATAATTATAAAACATAAAGCAACAAATAACATACACTACCAAAGGAAAAAACCCTAAACCATTAAACCTGCTGGCTTATGTCTGGAACAAATGCTTCATATTTAGTTTGTTATCTCAAATGATAAAATGTACCACATACTATGGAAAATGACTGACTCAATTTAATTAGGTTTTTGAACAGGTAAAGTACATGTTTCTAATTTAAAACCTTTGTTTTTCAGTCACTCAGATTTCCTCTTGGTAGATGTCATGGTTAATCTGACTGTCAACTTAGTGGGATTCAGTGTTATGGGATATTTGAAATACAAGTAGAGAGACACACAGGAAGGAGTAGGGAGGGACTTCGAGATTCAGGGTCTTTTTGGTTTGAGAGTGGAGAGATGTTTCTCTTGCTGGATCTCTAGCCAAAAAGGAAGGTCAGCTGGTTGCTTCTTGGCTTTTCTGATCTAGCAGGTTGTCACCCCAACATCTGATGCCTGAGGCTTTACTGGTAACTAGAACAATAGAGACTTAGTTAAATCCTATACTTGGAGGCTACTGTGGGGCTAGAAATCCTGCTACGCCGCCATCTGACTGGCAGGATGCTGACTGTGGCATGGTAGGGGGCAGACAGTAGTTAAAATAGCAGTAGATTCAGGTACAGCCACTAAGCCAACAGAAAAACAACTTAGTCTGCATGGAGATAGATCTCTGGATATGTCTGTGGGACATTCTAGATTAGGCTGGTGTTGGAAGTTCCACCCTGAATACAGGAGACCTCATTCCATGGGCTGGGGTCCTGAACTGACTGAAATAGAGAAAGAGAGTGGAGAAGTAGCATTCCTTGCTCTCTGCTTCCTGACTATAGAGCAATGTGACCAGTTGCCTCGAGGTCCTGGACCATGACTTCTCCAACCTGATGGACTGCACCCTCAAACTTTGAGCCAAAATAAATCCTTTTTTTCTCTTAGGTATCTATAGTAAGTTTTTTTTTTTTAATTCCACCTTAGATTAATCACAAAGAAGTAGTTATATTTAACGCTCTAAACTTTTAGATTCATTTACTGCAATGATACTAATTTACATAATGAATATCAGATGTCCTGAATGTTCTTACCAACCCTTGTAAAAATATGAAAGATCATTTTAGTAATAATGGCTTATTTCTATGGCCCTGGAAGATATTTAGAGATAATAAAAAGAGGAAAATCAAATTAATCCTTTACAGTTTATGCGCTCTGGGTAGAATGTAAATTTACTAATCTATCTGCCCCCATCACAAAATAGAAGATGCTTAGACACTTTTGGTCATTTATAAGAATCCATTCATCACATCTACACCTTCCTCAAGGGCTAAGGACTGAGTCACTAGCTTATAAACAGAGTTTTTGACTTTCAACAAATATATATTTTCATTATTCCTTTTCTTTCTACTTTTAGGTCCAGAATAAAGCTATCTATTAAACTACTCATTTTTTGAGTAAATAAGCAAACTCTCTGTGATGGTTCTTCTTGGTTGTCAACTTGATTATATCTGGAATTAAAAGCCTATGTGTCTGAGTATACCTGTAAGGGAATTTTTTCTTCTTAATTAAATCATTTAAAGTGGGGAGATCCACCTCTAATCTGAGCCACATCTTTGGCTGGCAGTTTATAATAAAGGTCATGGAAGAAGGAAGCTTGTTCTCTTTGCCTGCTTCCCTTCAGTCTTGCTGAGAAGTTCATTCCTTCACTGGCATTCAAGTCTACTTCTTGTAGATTCTAGTGCATATGGAAGACCAGCTGAGGCATCCAACCTCATGGACTGAACAACCACTGGACTCTTGGACTTTCTATTGGTAGACAGCCATTGTTGGACTAGCTGGACCACAGGCTGTTACCTACTTCAATAAACATATATGGACGGACGGACGGACGGACAGATACGCGTGCACGCGTGCACACACACGTTCATTCTATCAGTTCTGTTCCTCTAGAGAACCCTGACTAATATACTCTACTAAGCCTATTTTCTTATTTATAAAATAAATGATAGGTCAAGGGGTATATGTCAGTGGAAGAGAATATCTTTCACATGCATGGAAGATTAGGTTCAATCTCCAGCACCAAAACCAAACAAATAAAAGCCTAGCAAATGGATAGGAACTACTAAGACTTTTAAAAATAATTTTCATAACAATATTTTTCTCGACGGGTGGTGGTGGTGCACGCCTTTAATCCCAGCATTCGGGAGGCAGAGGCAGGCGGATCTCTGTGAGTTCGAGGCCAGCCTGGTCTATAAAGTGAGTTCCAGGAAAGGTGCAAAGCTACACAGAGAAACCCTGTCTTGAAAAACCAAAAAACAAAAAACCAATATTTTTCTCTAATAACATGGTAATGTTTGATAATAAATTTAATGCATTAAAATGATCTACTAATTAGTGGACGCTTACTTAGATTCTTATGTATTTTTCTGATTGAAAAGGGGAAAAATCAGCTAGTATACCATTAGTGACTTGTCATACTCTCATAGTTGACAATAAAGAAAATAAACTAATCTGGGACCTTAAACAATGTCTCAATATGTTTAAAATTTTGTAGGATTGCTTAATCTGTCATTCTAACTAATCTAGGTTTTGTTTCATGTTGTGAGATATTTTGATTGCACTCTGACACTCCTGAGACTGCCCAATAAAGTTATACCTTGAATCAAGGGGTGGGGCCAGTGACTAGCTGACCAGAATTGGCCATAGAGAAGCCAGTAACTTGGATAGAGAAGATGCACAGGAAGGAAAGGGCAGGGACTAGAGTTTGAGCTCTCTTAGTTCTGGGACAAGACGTATCTCTTGCAGTATCTCCAGTCTAAAAGCAAGGTCAGCTAGTTGCCACTTGGCATCTCTGAGCTAGCAGGTTTTCACCCCAGTCTTTGACTCCCGAGTGTTATTAATAAATAGAATGGTAGAGTCTTAGATTAAACCTACATATTGCAGCTATGGCAAGCCAGGGCCACAGGACCAGAAGTCTGGCCAGGCCATGGTACAGCAGATGATAATTAAAATATCAATAGATTCATGTGCAGCTGCTAAACAAAGAGAAAGACATCAGTTTCAAGACAGGATTCAAGCCTTAAGTGTCCCTATAGCTATGGATGTAATACCAATCAGAGGTGCACTTAAGCTGATACTATAAAACAAGATTGTTGTATGAAGATCATCTGCCCTCTTGTATCATAAATGATAGCCACTACTCTTTGGCATGTATGTAGAGAATATGCAGTGGGGTGTGGCTATTTCCTCTGGGTTGAGGTAGAGTAGCTCCTGGGTATGATGACCCAGGAACCTCTCAAGGCCTCCTCTCCCCCAAACACCAACTACTACCACACAACAGGTAAACAACTGACTCAAGTGACTTTGGCTGGTGTGTGTTCTTGTGAGTCACCCATGCTCCCTTAAATAATCCCAACAAACACACTGGTTTGCCAATCTCAATTTGAATAGATTCCTTTGGTCTGTTATTGTCCTTTAAATCCAGAGTTATTACACATTTCTTTACATCTTTCCAGAAAAGGTTAAGGAATATATGTTAATTCATATCTATTAGCCTTAACATCAGCTCCAAGTGGTCAGAAATCTGAAAATGGAGAGCTTTACAAAACTAGCAATTTATTCAATAATACAGAATTAAAGTGACACATAGATGAATCCTGTGAGACACTCCCCCACCCCCATTTTGCTACCTCCACAGAGATGTAGTGTAACTCACCTAAACATATCTGAATGTGTCTTCTAAAGTATATAATATACACTACTGGGAAAGCATTCTGAAAACTAATATGACCTTTTAAAATATTTATTTTTGTTATTTTTCTTTTTTCTTTTTTTTTTTGGTTTTTTTTTTTTCGAGACAGGGTTTCTCTGTGTAGCTTTGCGCCTTTCCTGGAACTCACTTGGTAGCCCAGGCTGGCCTCGAACTCACAGAGATCCGCTTGCCTCTGCCTCCCGAGTGCTGGGATTAAAGGCGTGCGCCACCACCGCCCGGCTATTTTTCAATTATATATAGAGAGGGGTGGTTATATGCATTTGAGTGCAGATGGCTTTGGAGTCCAGAAGAGGATGTTGGGTCCATTTGGGGCTAGAGTGGTGGCTGGTGAGCTGCCTCACCTGGGTTCTGGGAAGCAAACTCTGCTCCTCTGGAAGAGCAGAGCATGTTCATAAATATCAAGCATCTCTTCAGCCCTGCATGACTTCTTCAAAGGACTTACTTTTTCAGTTAATGAAAGTCTTACACCAATTACAATGCTAAGATACAAGTGTATACACATAAAATCAGAACATTGGCACAAAAAGGACAAAGTAGTAGAACAGCGATAGACCAGTGTTTATATGAAGGACTATAGCAAGCATCAATACTGAGTCAATGGAGAAAAGATATAGAGCTTACGTGATGATGTTAGGAAAACTGTCAAGTAGTATAAAAAAAAAGTGTATTCCCACTCAACACCATATCCAAAGCTGTACAAGTGGACTAGAGGCTTAAATATAACAGATAAAACTATACAGAATGGATAAAATAGTATCTCTGGGAGGTAAAGGTAATTCACAGAAAAGGAAACTCAAGACACTAACAAATATTGATACAGAAAAATATACAAATAGAAATTAGACCTCCTTTGTTGGTAAAAATTAGAGTAAGAAGTTGGTTAAGTACAGAAATCCACTAATTCCTAATGAATGTGATGGCATTCAGGGAAGCTGCTTGTCAATATTTTGTCAAAATCTGTATAGACATGTCCTAAAACCCTGTTTGAGGATGTCTACTGTAGCACTGTTCTGAACGGGAGAGGCAGCTTGAATCTATCACTAAGGAATGTGAGTGAAGGAATCCATATATTCCTACGGATCAAATATCTAGATCTGCAGTGTCAGATATGGTAGACGCTAGGTACACGTGCTATTTAAATGTAAGCAAAACTAACAGCTGAGGTCAGGCATGGTGGTTGCATGCCTTTAATCTCAGCACTCAGGAAGCAGAAGCAGGAGGATACCTATGAGTTTGTGGCTAGCCTGATCTACATAGTGAGTTCTAGGTCAGCCAGTGCTACACAGTGAGACTCTGTCTCAAAACAACAACAACAACAACAAAAACCTAATAACTGAGTTGCTCAGTCACACCACCCATACGTGCTTACTGGTTTCTAACATTAACATAGACTTAGAATCCATCCCCTTTCTATCATGCAGGAAGTTCTAGTGTATGGTGCTGCTTTCCAAGAATACAAAGCTACTCAGTCAGACAGAGGCTTCTCAGAAATACTGCCAAGAACAGAAAACAACTCAAAGAATGACAAATGGGATCACATGAAATGAAAACCTTTCTGCAAAACAAAACTACAAGCAAAATGGAGAGAGAGCCTACAGATTGTGGAAAAGCACTTAGCCAGCTATATTTCATAAAGGGGTTAATGTCTAGTATAAAGAACTGCAAACACTAAACACACACACACACACACACACACACACACACACACACACACACACAAACTTCCAATCAATAAATGGTAAAATGAACTGAATAATCAGTTCTGAAAAGAAGAAACAAAAATAGCTAAAACATATATTTAGAAGAGTGCATGAATGCCGTCCATGTTTTAAGTTACTATATAGTCCTCTCCATCAAATTATTTTGGTAAGATATGGCAAAGTCTTAAAACCGGACCGGATCACTTATGTCACCCAGGAAAAAAGTGAGTGTAATTTAATTTTTCATAGTTCCTTCTATTTTGTTCAACCACTAAAAACTACAAACGATAATGATTTCTAACAATCGCGTATACTGATAAGACGAAAACAACAGTATCGCTCAACAAGGAGATTCCGTAAGCATGAATTAAAATGTTCTGAAATAACTTTGCCACTGAAAGTTGAAAAATCTGAAACACGTTTAGAGCTCAGTAAGTATTTTTTCCTTCATCATTTCTGTACCAATCTTGCACAGATGGAATTCATTTTAAGATACAATAATACTGTCGGGCATGGTGGCCCACACCTTTAATTCCAATACTCAAGAGGCAGAGACAGACAGATCTCTGTAAATTCGAGGCCAGTCTGGTCTACAGAGCGAGTGCCAGGATAGCTAGGGGGTATTTTTTGCCTCACAACAACAACGACGACAGAAAGATACAATAATAGTAATATTAGAACGCATGTAGCAACATGGGTCAAGCAACTCATTCCTTACAACAATGTCAGATAAGGATAGCACACAAAGCTTAACTTGCCCTATGGCACTCAGCTAGCTGGCAGATCTGGGATTCGATGCACCACAAAAACTGCGACATGATCCCTCCTGCGCCCCATCATGCCCGAGGACCCAGACGTGCAATTACCTGGAGAATCTGACGGTGCCACCGAGTGGAGTTCCCGGTTCGTGACGTATGAGCCACAGTGCCCGCTGGGCCATGGTAAAGCCACCGAAGGATCAGCTCATCCCCGAAACTAAGGTCACCATCCAGCCAGAGCAGACGGCCCTGCGCCGCAAGAGCTCACGGGAGAGGCTCGCTCTTCCCGGTGAGGAGACGCAAGTCTCCCGGCCCCTCCAGGAGGTCAAGACACACCGGCGACAGGTCCTGGGAACCCGCACCCGGAATCCGGGAGGACGGCGAGGCTCTACCTCCCACTTCCGGGATGGCGGCCCGCGAGGCTCAAGGCGCGTCGCTCGCTCGCTCGCTGGC